GCAAGACAAAGCACGCTGCATTCTTCCGTGAACCCTGAGTGAAATGGGGGCGAGAATTGTAGCTCGTGCGACATTAAGAACTCCTGACTTGCCTTTGGACCATTCAAAGCAGCTGGCCTTCGTTGTTTTGTCGATATTATCCATCATGTAGTGGTATGATCTCACGGCATCTTGAAGTTTACCTGCCTGAAGGAGTGCATCGCAACGTTTCTGGTGTGCAGTCAACCACAGTGATTTGAGATCCCAGCCGAAGAGCTGAGCAAGGGATTTGGTTATGAAAGCGTTTCGGATGTGTGTCAACGTACCACCACCAAATCCTGATATATCTCGTGAATGTTAGATTTCGATGATGAATCGCGGCAGTCGAGAGCGGCGGTGAAATGGTCAGCGGCTTCTTCGTGACATGCGCCATCCAAGGCTTTGATTCCGAGTTGAACGTGTAGATATGCCTGATGTGCGAGTTGTAAAGATGAGTATTGATGATCAAGCATAGATGATACTTACTTGCACGACACGACATGCGAGAGCGTCGGCATGCGGACATCCGGTAGTGCGTTCTTTGAGGAGCAGGTTTGCCTCGTCGTGTTGATCTGCATTGAAGAGCGCGATGGCCTAAAGTATGCGATGATGCGGGGAGGACGTCAGGAAAATGCAACATACTTTGATCAAGAGCAGGAAATGGAGGGTTTGCGAATCTTGGTCCGTGTACCTTGATGCAACATCAAATGCTGCCCTCGCATCTGGGACACGACCTTGTCTGCAGAGAGCGATACCCTTGGAGATGTAGCCTGTCAAAGAGGGCTGAATACTAATGGACTATGTCACCGTCAAGTAAGTTTTTGAAAAGGGGTGATGTGAGTCAGTGAATCTCACCTCGATTGCATCCTGAAGGGCGTGATCCCAATCGTGTTTTCGCGCCATAACAAATGAACGATGGGCGTAGGAAGTATAATTATTCGGATTGGTGTTGATATCTTGAGTGAGTAGTTCTTCGGCGGTAGATAAGTTTCCATTTACACATGCAGTACGGGAGGTCGTGATGGCTAGGATCTGCAAGAAACATGCTCGAATTATGGTATACACGGAGTCATGGACGGAAACATGCCTTTGACCGATGGGCGAAGGGAGTATGGTTGTTTGCATCAGTGGTAATATCTTGCGTGGGTGGTTCTTCATCAGTAGATAAGTCTCCATCTGTGTATGTATCGCAGACTGTTGTGATGACGATAGTCTGCAAGAAGCATGCTCGATTTGTGGTATATAAGTCAGGGACGGAAACATGCCTTTGGATGAGTATCCTGGGGTACTGCCCACTCTGAGATCATCTTATCACCGCCTCCGCTGAGGATGTGGTTTCCGTCCACGGAGAAAGTGACGCATATCATTTTGAATGAATGCTTGAAGACAGCAATGGTTTGTCGGTCTGAGAACTGCCAGAGACGAACATGGTTGTCATCAGATGCGGAGGCAACAAGTGTGCCAGCAGGATGAATGGCAATGGCATTGATTCGGCCAGTGTGGCCCGTCCAAGGATCCCCGACCTGCTTCCAGGTTGTTGTATTCCATTCGAGTATGGTATGATCGCTATGATAGCCACCTGTGAGAAGGCGCGTGCCATCGGGCGTCCACGCGAGTAACGAGTTGTATGATGTGTTACCAAAAATTGCGACACATTTCAACTTGGTGCCAGAATAGTAAATTTGGATATTGTTGTTTGTTCTGATGGCAAGAAGTTCTCCAGACGGTGAATACCGTACGCATTTGACAAAACTACCACACTTGATTGGATATCCTTGCAGCTGCCAGGTTTGGGTATTCCACAGTTTCATCATTTTGTCATATGAACCAGTGGCCAAGACTGTTCCATCGGGAGAAAAATCCAGCGAGGGGATATAACGGGAGTGGGCTTCAATTTTGGTGAGTGATTCGCCAGTTTCTCCATGCCAGACAATGACCTCTCCACCTCTATCACCGCTTGCTATTAATTGTCCATTTCGTGATACCGCCAATCTCCATACCCCATTGCGATGCCCTTCCATCTTCTTCAACACAACACCTGTCTTCAAGTCCCACAGACGAAGTGTCTTGTCGTACGAGCCTGTAACCATCCGTCGTTTATCTGAGTAAACTGCGACTGCATTTATGCATTCTTCATGGCCATTGAACTCTTGCAGGGGTGTGGTGATTGGCATGATGTTCGCCTCTTTACTGGATGTTGATGGTGTCGAGGTGGACCTTGGAGGGTTTGTATTTTTGTCCAACCCATAAAGGTGCGTATATTATGCGATTTATAGTGCACTGCTTCAACCTCAATAGACGCCCAGGACCGTTCGCTTCCACGCCTCCATCACTGTAATGCACCCTATTGCCATACCTGCTGTCCTCGACGGTATGTCGTTCCAGCACTCCCGCAGTGCATAAACGTATCCCGCTTTTGTCTTCAATGTTTGCAGAATGCACTTATGTAATCGAGCAGTCAGTGCTTCGCAGCATTCGCATCTGACTATTTATCCTGCATGGTATTTTTTTTTTTGAGTCGAACAGCTACTCCCGCACATCGCCATGTCACTCCTTCGAACGCATGCGAATAGCACATTGAAATATCACCCTTCATCCCACCGACTCTCAAGACCTCCTTATGCACCAAATTTCTCCCCTCTGGCGTCTCAAACTGGTTAATAATTCTAAACAGAGGAGCGCTTTTCTTCCAGCACGGCTCTTTCTCTCTCTCTAGCAATATTGCGACGAGCCTTGCCCAGTCCTTGGGCCATTTGGTATGGGGGTGGAGAATCGCTTTAAGTTCACTCGTACGGTTCTGTTCACGCTCGGTTTTGAGGAGAAAATAAGTACAGCAGCGATAATATCTTTAACTCAAATCCTGCATAGCTTAAGCATTTGAAAGGTAGGTCTTCCACAAGATACCAAAATGGAGAACATGGGTTTGCCTTACTTCTCGATTCCTCGCCATTACCACCCGCATCCAGACCACCATGTAGGAACAACATCAGGTGTCTCTCGTCCTTCTACTCCCAACCCAGTGCTTGAACCTCCCCCCCCCCCACGTCGAAGTTACGAACAATCGCCTCCACAATAATCTCATCTACAGGACAGAGGCTACGGATATCACGAAACAACCCAAGACGCATCTTAGCATCCACCACAGTCGCATGAGTCTGCACATCAGCTGAGTCCTGGAGAGCACTAGTACTGACAGTGCGGACGACTGACACATCTTCAAGCTCTGATGAGTCCTACACAGCTGTTGGCGGTATTGCGCATGGTTAGTGTGTCCGAGGGTTAATTTGTGTCAAGTTTCACTTTAGGTGGGGAGTGGGCAAGGATGAATGGGGCCGCAGAGATGGGGAGGGACAGCCTGACCAAAGTGAGTATATGTGTCGTACGTATCAATACACTTCTATTCGTTGAGGAGAAATTTGCAATTTCAGTAAAGATCCTGGGCGATAGATTTGACGGATGTGGTCCAGGTCTCGTGAACTGTTCATAATATACTCTGCCCCTCTCATTGCTGCTGAGCGCTGAAAGCGGGTGCAGGAGTCCAAATCACAGTTCCAATCCGACGTTCAAGGCACGTCTACTATCTCAGCGAAAATGACATTGGCTCCGGTTTGACGCACACCCATCACACTGATTGTCTCAACATTCTCCTCACTACACAACATATTCATCCCCCCAGCCACCACAATCAAATATCCTTCCTCCTCATGCCCTCCCACTGTCATTTTGTGATTTCTGTTGCTGCTTCATTAATCTCACCTAACATGATTTCTTACAACTCGTACACGAACCTATGTTAGCAATGTGGATGAGATTTGATCTATCCCGGACGAGCACCATCCTCTCCGCGATCTGGAATCTGGATGCATCTTCCGGGTTGGTATTCTTTACGTTTCGCAGACATCGTGAGTTTTCTTTCTTATTGGATTTTCTTTCTTTTCGTTTGATTGTTCTTCTGTAAATAGGATCGTGCAGGTGGGTGAATGTTTTGTTTTCTTTCGAGACGTGTTACTAATGATTGAACTTGAATGCATAGCCTGCCAGACAGCAATTTGCGGATCATGCATCAACTTGTCGCGGTCCCACTCCCAAAGAATCCTAAAGGACAAAGGGTGGTACATTGGGAAGTGTCGAGACTTGGAGCTTAAGTTGAACTGGGGCACTCATTGTTATTACCAGCTGAGTAACTCAGTGTCTGCTACTGGTAACTGATTGATGTTGGGGACTTGACAGAATCAGTATCGGTAATGAATATGATTCATATTCAGGTCGGAACTTCCAACTGGGTTTCGTCTAAACTTGAACATGGCACGCGGAAACCCATTTTTCAGAGGGTCGCCGTGCAACAACAGCTAGCTAATAAAGTCATGGTCATGGTTATTGATGATGCGCTAACATCCATGAGCCCCCAAGTTGAGTCAGGATCATGGATTGGGAGAGCCCGACGAATTCAGGATTCCGAGGAGCAACCGCTGGACTCGGTCGTTAGTCGGGAAATCTGAGTCCGAGTCACTTGGCATGGCAAGAAGCCCAAGGAGATCGTCCGGAACTATCGCACCCTGCATGTCCACATCCGAAGAGCAGAGTCTGGACGTCATAATCATATTCACATCCCACATACTTTCAACATCGGAAACACGTCAGTTCTTCATGCGAGACCTCGTAGATTATGGTGAATGGAGGTGCGGAGCAAGCCTCATGACTTACTGGCACAGTGACTATAACAGTCAGCTGATATGGTCACCCCTCCATACATCCCCAGGAGGCTTTTGTTGGTTGATCATTAGAAGTCGAATGCACCCTCTGTCAGAAAGTTTGTGGGGTTTCTTTTGTCCGGCCTGCATGTGACTCGTGGTATCGGACGGAGAAGTCGTGCAGATAGTTCTCCATGGTCTGCTCTAGTCCAATACATACACGTGTAGTATGATGTATACGAAATGCCAATGGAAGCCTCTCGAATCCCCAATCTTGGGAGGAAAATGAATCTACAGTATTTCTATCGTCCTGACGTCCATCAAGTCCCGAACAGAAACCACGTCTTTGACTTGCGCAATGATATCACAATCCGACGCGACCCTCTTGTATTCTCCGCCGCGTTGCCGCACTAGTAAAAATGCGCCAAAAGGCTGCCCAAGACGAACAAGTAACCGTAATGCCCGCAATTCTGGATCATCCACCCCCTGTTTTACAAGAGAATGACTAGGCGAGTCATCCAACGGAGAAGGCGGCACCCAATCATCCTCTTCGTTCTCTGTATCATCTTGAAGATCTACAAAGTCTGATAGCTCGAGGAGAGACCGATCCCAGGGACGGACGAGCATGAAGGTTTGCTGATTGGGCCTTGTCCGCAAGAACTGGACGATCGGCTTTTTGGTGGTGATCAGCAAGTCATCAAGCCCGTCTGCCTTGACTTCATAGCGAGTCTCCTGGGATGTACTATAGCTCAGACCGACTTGTGTGACAGGGAATACCATGCAAGGCAGATGCAGTCTGCAGTTCGAGAAACGAGCGGCGCTCGTGTTGTCAAGCCGGTCGTGAAAACCCAAAGCCAAATCCACAACCATGGGATTTTCTCGCAGGGAAGAGATGGTTGTCTGAATCTGATCTTCGGACAAAGATAGACATGGAAGGGCACGCGGAGGAGTGGCGTAAGAAGTGACATAGGCCGGAAGACAGCTGTTGAACTCGGAAGGTTGTCCGACCCAGTCGAGGACGGTGATGTCCCCCGACCGAGCCACGATCTCCTGCAGGAGCCGCCCGAGCGCGTTCTGTCTTTTTTCGCCATAGATTACAGGTAGGTGGACACCAAAGATACCAAACAATGAGTACGCAACGTCCTCTTGCAATGTGGTGACGCGAGATGACGCCCATTGAAGTCTCTGTCTGGCGTTGCTCATCCCTGGACGAAAAGAAATTAGGGCCCGTGCATCTATTCCGGTCGCATCCTCCAACTCCTTCATGATTGCAGGGGACTCTTTGTGGTTGGGAGTGCGATCGTCCAGATATAATGACCAATCCTTCTGATAAAATACAACAACTTTCGGAGCGACGAATTCTTGAAAGGTCCATCCTCGCTTGTTCCAGACACTGCTCGCTAATGCGCCTGGTTCAGATGAAGAGGGTACATCGGATAGGTAGACGATGGTAAGCGCTGAATGGCGGTACCAGACGAACATGGAGTTGACCGATTCTTGAACCTCGGTGTTGCTCCTCTTGTCGATGCAGCATGTGTCCATCCAAGCCCAGCGATATCCGGCATCACGAGCGACATTGCAGAACGCCTGCAGTTTCGCGATCCCGGCAAGTCCCTTCAACTCACGCACATCTTTATCTTGGATGTCGTGCAGTAGTGCCTCCATCTCCTCCCACCTGTGTGATAGCAGGACGCAACGGAAGTACGTTGCCACTACATCTTTGATGCGCTCTGCTCGAAGATCCGAATCCTTTGTTGGAAATGAGACAAGATCGTTGTACTCTGGACTCATTTTGAAGGCGTTGATTTGTGCCACTCTATCGCACAAAAGACCCGTGGATGTATCAAGTAGACGCAGGGGGGCATATTCGAGTTCAATCCAAATTGCACTTTGAATGGCGTCTTCTGCTTCCGATGGAGAGACATACTGCTGACGCAGATCTGCAGAACGAGATGGGCATGAGATTATGCAGGAGTTTTCCGTGGCTTACCTCGTATCTGCGGTTCGGGAGAATCGTCCAACTTGGACAACATGATTTTGAAGGCCTCGATGGCTTCATCGTAACGTTGCACCCCACGCAGCGCTGTATGCATCAACTCGTATCCAACATGAGACGAAGGATTGAGTTCGATGACCTATGCATTACCGAAGTGAACATAGGCTATGAAAACGTAGATGCCATCGTACCTTTTGCGAGTCGAGAAGCGCCTCCTCCCATAGCAGTTCCCCTAACTTCGCCCTGCTGCGATTTGCGAAGACGTCATGAGATCCAGAATCCAGGTCGATGGCCGCCGAGTACAGGTCGATGGCCATGCCATACTTGCTTGCAGCGAGGGCAGCGTCTCCGCTGGTAAGACAGAGCGCGCTGCATTCTTCCGTGAACGCTGAGTGAAATGGGGACGAGAATTGTAGCTCGTGCGACATTGCAAACTGCAGACTTGCCTTTGGACCATTCAAGGCAGCAGGCCTTCGTTGTTTTGTCGATATTGTCCATCATGTATTGGTATGATCTCACGGCATCTTGAAGTGTACCTGCCCGAAGGAGTGCATCGCAACGTTTCTGGTGTGCAGTCAACCACAACGATTTGAGATCCCAGCCGAAGAGCTGAAAAGGAATTCAGTTATGAAAACGTTTAGCGTGTGCGTTGACGTACCACCACCAAATCCTCGTAAATTTCATGAATGTCCGATTTCGATGGTAAATTGCTGCAGTCGAGGGCGGCAGTGAAATGGACAGCGGCTTCGTCGTGACGTGCGCCATCCAAGGCTTTGAGTCCAAGTTGAACACGTAGATATGCCTAATATGCAAGTTGCAAAGATTAGCGTCGATGCAGATCACTCCGCGTGGCTGCACGATGCTTACTTCCACGATACGACATGCGCGAGTGTCGGCATTCGAACAACCGGTAGTGAGTTCCTTGAGGAGCAGGCTTGCCTCCTCATGTTGATCTGCATTGAAGAGCGCGACGGCCTAAAATATGCGATGATGCGGAGAGTATGCAAGGCAACCGCAACATACTTTGATCAAGAGCAGAAAATGGAGGGTTTGCGAATCTTGGTCCGTGTACATGGATGCAACATCAAATGCTGCTCTCGCATCTGGGACGAGGCCTTTTCCGCAAAGGGTAATACCCTTGGAGATATAACCTGTCAAAGAGGGCTCAATGTTGATGGACTGTGTCACCATCCATTTAGATATTCATAAGGGAGCGGAGATGGGTCAGCAAATCTCACATTCATTGCATCCCGAAGGGCGTGGTCCCAGTCGTGTTTCCGCACCATAACGAATGAACGATGGGCGTAAGAAGTATGGTTGTCGGGATGGTTGTTAACATCTTGGGTGAGTAAATCTTCGGCAGTAGATAAGTCACCATCTACGCACGCATCGCGGGCTGTCGTGATGGCTAGGATCTGCACAAAACATGCTCGGGTCATGGTTAATATGAGTGAAGGACAGAAACATGCCTTTGAATTGACACCTTGAGGCACTGTCCACTGCAAGAGCATGCCATCTTCACCTCCGCTGAAGATGTGATTGCCGTCCACGGAGAAAGTGACGCATAGCGTGGGAGATGAGTGCTTGAAGACGGCAATGGTACGTCGCTCTGAGAGCCGCCAGAGACGAACATGGTTGTCACCAGATGCGGATGCGACGAGTGTGCCAGCAGGATGAATGGCAATGCCATTGACTCCTAAAGAGTGGCCCGTCCAAGAATCCCCGACCTGTTTCCAGGTTGTTGTATCCCATTCACGTATGGTAGGATCAAGACTATCGCCACCTGTGAGAAGGCGAGTGCCATCGGGCGTCCACGCGAGTGACAACTTCCATGAGTGAGCCTTGAATGATGTGACACGTTTCCTCGTGCCTGAATTATAAATTTGGATATTCATACTCGACACGATGGCAATAAGTTCTCCAGACGGTGAGTACCGTACGCGGTTGACAATATCACCACACTCGATCGGATCTCCTTGCAGCTCCCAGGTTTTGGTATTCCACAGTTTCATCGTTCTGTCAGATGAACCAGTACTGGCAAGTACTGTTCCATCGGGTGAAAAATCCAGCGAGGAGATCCGATGGCCCGAGTGTGCTTCGATTTTGGTGGATTCGCCAGTTTCTCCGTGCTGGACGATGAGCACTCCGCTTTGATCACCACTTGCTATCAATTGTCCATCTCGTGATACTGCCAATGCCGACACCCAATGGCGATGCCCTCCCATCCTCTTCAACACAACACCTGTCTTCAAGTCCCACAGACTAAGCGCGTTTTCCTCCGACCACGTAACCATCCGTCGTTCATCGGGGAACACTGCGACTGCATATATGCGCCCTTGATAGCCTTCGAACTTTCGCAAAGGAGTGGTGATTGTAATGAGCCTCGACATTTGACTGGATGTTGATGGCATTTAATACGGTCGAGGCTAAACTTTGGATGGACTGTGTCTTTCTCTAAGCTGCAGAGGGTGTATGGTGCGCTTCACAGCTTGCCTCATTTTAATAGACGCCCAGGACCCTTAAGGCTATTCGCTTCCACGCCTCTATCACTGTAAGGCATCCTATTGCCTATTGCCATACCCGCTGTCCTCGACGGTATGCCGTTCCAGCACTTCTGCAGCGCATACATGCGTCCCGCCCTTATCTTCAATGTTTTCAGAATGCATCTAATCGACCAGTTGGTGCTTCCTAGCGCTCGAATCTGACTATCTATCCTGCATGGTTGCATGGTATCTGTTTTTTGAGTCGAACAGCTACTACTCCAGCACATCGCCATTCACCCCTTCGGCATGCAAATAGCTTATCGCAATATCACCCTTCATCCAACCGACTCCCAGGACCTGTTTGTGGACTGGATACAGGAGAAGTTTTCCTTCTGGCGTCTCAGTCTCGTTACCAATCTTAAATGGAGGAGCGTCTTTCTTCCAGCGCGGCTCTTTCTAGTAATATTACGATGAGCCTTGCACGGTCCTTGTGCCATTCGGTATGGTGGTGGAGAATCGCTTTAAGTTCACTCGTACGGTTCTGATCGCGCTAGGTTTTGAATATCCTTCAATCAAATCCTACATGGCTTAAGCATTTGAAAGGTCGGTCTTCCCCAAGATATCAAAATGGAGACAATGGGTTTACCTCGCTTCTCGATCCATCGCCACTACGTAGGAACAACATCAGGTGTCTCTCGTCCTCCTACTCCCAACCCTGTTCTTGAATCTCCTAACATCGAAAGTATGGACGATCGCCTCCGCAATAATCTCATCTAACCCAGAACGGAGGCCACACAGATCACGAAACAACACAAGATGCATCTTAGCATCCACCACAGTCGTATGGGTCTGCGCATCAGCCGAGTCCTGGAGAACACTAGTACTGATGGTGCGGACGACTGATACATCATCCAGCGTCCTATACGGCTGTTGGCGGTACTGTGCATGGTTAGTGTAACTGAGGGTTAATTTGTGTCATGTTTCACTTTGGGTGGGAAATGGCGAGGATGAATGGGGCCGCAGAGATGGGGGGGAAGCCTGACCAAAGTGAGTATATACGTCGAAAGTATCAATACCCTTCTGTTGGTTGAGGAGACATCTAGAATTTTAGTAAAGATTTGACGGGTGTGGTCCAGGTCTCGTGAACT